CTCTCAGAAATGAGCGGAGGCCTGTGCTCAGCAGTGGGACGTATATAGGCTGTAACTTTATTTTACTTTAACTTTGACTAGATTGCTAGTCGCTGATTCTTATTTAAAAAATGCTCCGACCTTTTCTTGACCTTATTTGAACAAAGCCGATACAGTCTGTTTGCGTGATGTATTTATGAGTGTATGACTAACCAACGATATGACAACTGAATAAAGATTCATTTGAAATTCCTATCATCCACTTAGTACGTTGAATAAATATCTGTTCATTAACAGTGTTAATTACATATCGTATTAATGATTTAGGTCGTTACTTCGACTGAACACATTTAGAGTTCTATACCTCGACTGATAACGATCGAGGTCGATGTTTAAAAGAGCAACACTAACGCTTAACAATTAGCTCGCACCCTTTTTAACAGCAACTTAACTTTTTTATTTCAATTTTGCTTTTAATGTACTAAAAAGTATCAGCCTACACTGTTCTACCGCTAGGCACCGCTAAGGCATTATAGCGGGGGTTGCAATTTAAGAACATTAATGTTATATTATGATCTGGGACTGAGACCGTTCCCAGCTTGCAGTTAATAATTAGTATACACAGACTACAGCCAGTGCAGCTGGAGTACGAGCTCATTAAAGCAAAGGCGAGAGGATTACAAAAGCCTAACTTTTACCTTCCGTCCCGTTATCGTTTTAGTTTGGTTTCTTATCGAATCTTGAGAGCGATTCCATCTTCAAAATGCTCACAAGAAAAAGAGTAAAATACATATTAACACAACCTAAATGTAATTTTACGGACGACTTCGCGATTCGCGACGCACTTTGCAGCACCCCTGGTCGATGGGGAACTGTTTGACGTCATGATGACGAGAGAGTTATTAGTTTTACTTCATGTGTAGTATTCGCGTAAACATAAGAAATCATTATGACAACATAAATGTATTGAAAACGAAAACTAAATAGTCGAGCTGGCCCTCATGCGAACAAGCTCGTGCAGCTCGTGACTCGACATTCGTTTTGTGTATTATAACAATCACGAGCACGGCAATGAGCGACATAAAGAAAGAAAGAGTCGCAAACACACGTCATAAATTTGCGATATTCAAATAATTTAACTCGATATAATTTTACGTGCAATAATAAGATTAATGGCATTTTTTACTAAAAGTCATATTTACACCTCACCTTCCAAAGGGAAGGAATCTTGTAGATGCAAAACGATATTGATAGATAAAGATAGATAACGTTTTACTGAAATTATATACATAAAGTTGTTATATACGTAAAGTTATTAGTTGTTGTTGTTGTTGTTACACACACCAAATCAAAACAAAAAACAAAAAATACAAAATATCAACAGGTAGTTAGTAGTGGGCGGTGTTATCTCTTATGGAAATTATTACAGACATCACAAAACTTAATTCAAATTAAAAAATAACAAAGAGGATTCACTGCAAGCGACATCACTAGCAATAAAATGGCAACCGGATCAGCTGTCGAAAGCCACGCGCTCACCGTGAGGGGGAGCTAACACCCCACAGACTGTGGAACAGCCGTATGAATAAGCTACGAGGGTAAGTGTGCGTATCAATGCAGGAATAACTAAAAGGGATGAACACGCTGTCACTAAAATTAAGTAAAAATTTTAAGGCAAATTATTTGAAAGTGTCCAGATGAAAATTAGACCCAAAAACCAATTAGAATATTAATTGAAACAATTTTTTTCATCATCTAGACTAGTTCAATAATGAGTGAGAGTACATATTTATCGTTACAAAAAGGGTGATTAAAAGCGTATTAGGTTACGGTATTCTCTCCAAATAAAAACGTAAAATGGAAAGTTAAATGTTTATGTATGAATTACTACAGTTTACAGGATAAGTGGAACTGTGGTATTTTACCGTCATCTTTTAATAGAACGCATGTGAGAAAATATGAAAAACCTTGTCATAGACAATGATTAATATGTGGCAAAGTTCTGAATTTGTTTCTTTGACATAAACACAAGACAAACCATCTTCCGTAGGCGTGTGCATCAAAACCAACAACGATTTATCATTAAAAAAACTTTACAGAAGAATAAAATCCTACGGCGTTTAAAATACCATTCTTTTACAGCATCAGTACATGAGATAACTTATCTAATTATCTTATTACTGAGTAAACCACACATATGCGGAGACAATAAATTATATAGTGACTGAAATAGCAGCCAGCAAAATGATTACCAAGAATCGCTCCAACATTTCACATCGAGCGAAATGTCCCACGAGAGCGCGGCGGCTGCCAGAACAGAGCCGAAGCTCCTACATTCCGACATTTGACGAATTTAATTTCTGAGAATACAAAGGTAAACGACACGCGGTCTGAATAAAGTTAGACTGAAAACGGGCCAAACGGAAAATTTGTTTAAATTGATCAATTCGAATGTATCTTTTTGCATAAATTTTTGTTAATCAACAGTGCCTTTACAATCTAGCTTACATTTTGACTTAGAAACAAGTGACAAAAAGACATACAGGAAGGAAAGTATGCTGTGACATAAACACCACACCTAATTACAAAATAATTTGATTATTTTTAACTTCCCGCAAAGAACATTGAAATTATTAAAAAATAGGGAAGTTATTGGTTTCACCCCCGATTTTCGAAAATCGAGTTTTCACCAGATTTCGACGTTTTGAGATCCCAGGAAGCTATCTGACTAATTTCACGTGGACGTCCGTACGGATGTATGTATGTATGTGTGTGTGTGTGTGTATGTAAGTAATAAGTATAAACCTTTCATAACTTTTGAACGTCTTGATCGATTGAGCGGTTCTAAAGATCTCAATGTGGAATAGATTTGGTAATAATATGAACTGATTCGGACGAGTAAATTTTGAGAAATCTCAAAAATTAAAATTTTGGAAAACTGTTTTTTGGAATAACTTTCAACCTAATCAGCTCTTAACCTCAAAAAATGACGTTGAATGCCGTTTGGAAAATAAGAATCAGTTCAAATTTCGTTCATGAAATATCGAAGGAGAAAGAATTTGAAAAAAAAAACGTTTTCTTTTAACATAACTTCGAGATTTCGCAACATAATTTGGTGAAATTTGGAGCGCTTTGCATTTGACATTAGCGGGAAGTTCTAGGGATGGTCTGCAGTCAAGCAATTTTTTTTAAACGTTACCCCCATCACACTTAACATCCATCTCACACCCTTCTCGTTTGTCACCCTTCCTTAAAAAAAAAAAAAAAAAAAAACATTTTCTCGTGTACCGTGGCGGCAGCTTAAATACATAAACTGCACAAATACAAACATTCACACACGGAACAATTAGTTGTAGATCATACATGTATTTGTTCCGTGCGGGATTCAACCCAGCAGTGAAATACAAAACACAGCAGCATATGCTGCAACTTTACGCTCGTATTCTGTGCGAACTTGGTTTTTTCCCAATCGGCTAGACCCATTCGCACTGCAGTCATACTCGTATTATATTGTAGCATGGGTCAATCTACACAACGAGCGCTAACCATCTGAGTTACCATGTCTCGGCGGTGAAGGAAAACATCGTGAGGTAACTTGATTGTCTGAGAAATAAGAAAAAAATATTTCTAAGACATGTGAAGTTCGCCAACACGCATTGGGGCAGCGCGGCAGACAATTACTTGCCCTAAAACCCTCTCGGAAATGAGCGGAGGCCTGTGCCCAGGAGTGGGACGTGTATATATATATATATATATATATATGGACTGTAACTAATTTAACTATGGCTCAATCTCGTCTTAAATGTATTTACTATAGATTCATGCGGCTCCGTAGCGCTGTGGCTTAGCATTGAGTTAGTGCGAGCGTGGTGCTTCACCGGCCGAGCAGACCCAGAAGCTGCAGATATAATACGTGGCAGCGTGGCTCCACCATGTATACGTATACTACCACGTACGTATATATTAGATATCCAGTAGTGTTACCATGTACAGGCAATTTTGCATGTAACGCAATTGTAACCGTAACTGATATGTCACCTTTTATTGTTGTTTTGATTTTAAACAAAAAATTAGAGCACAAGTTATGTAGAGTCTAGTCTAGTCTCATGTTTAATGCTTTTTTTTATTTTACTGTTAGGTTTTATTTTAAATTTATTAAGAAAGACCACTGCTCGAACTACTCAAAAGATAAGTAACGGGCCACATTGTAAAACAGCGACTGTGGTTCGCCACGCCAAATACTGAGTGGGACCCCTATTCGATTACTTTATTGTTAGTAACGTTCAAAATAAGAAAATATTATGTACATTATGGCTTTGTGCTTATGTGGCGAAATAAGCTTTGTCTTTATTTATTCCCTATCAGAGACCCAAAACATCTCAGATATAGGAGAAAAAAATGATCACTAGTTTTGTAACCACCTCTCTTTTATTAACCGTAAAGAATTATCTAGTCTAAGAATACAAGTAATATAGAATATATCAAAAACATATTTCAATTCACAAGATTTTAAAATTAAATCAAAAGCGGTAGTCGGCTACAGTAATAAATCCATAGGCAACGAGCAACAATGCACTCAAAACAAACAAGACGCTGGTTGCTACGTTTCTACAATCCAAATGGGTTAATTCGTGTGCGTCGGCTAATACTTGTTTTAAATTCGGAACGACGATTGTTTAAAACCAGTCCCGAGTTGATTCGCAACGTTAATTTATTTTATCGCGCACTATAACCACCAAATGTGCGCGATGACTTAACTAGGACCAATAAAGAAAAGTAAATTATAATGAAAGTCAGTTATCAAGTGAGCGCGATAACGCTGTAATCGCCGTAGAATTGGTGAGAAACGCTCGACAAGGTCGGGATGTTAGTGACGTAATGACGTAACCACGACAACAATAGCTGTGAGAACACTAAATAACAACAAGTTTATTGCGATGATGATGACGCGATACTGCACAGTAACAAGCCTGAATCTTCAAACATTATTATTATCTACTACAATGTCAAAAAATGCGAACCTTTCTTCGATTGTTTCTCCCGCTCCTTCTCCTTTTCCCGAGCCTTCTTCTCCTTTTTCTCCCTCTCCTGCTTCTCTTTCTCAAGCCTCTTCATCTCCTTCTTCAGTTCCTTTTCACTCTTCTTGGCCTTGGTGTCGTCGATCTTTTCGGACAGTATGAAAGTCCCTGTCTGGACCTTCGTGTCCGTCTCGTTCTTGGGCCTCATCTCGAAATCGGCACTAAGCACTTAACAGGATCCCTCCTTAATGCACTCTGGGTGTATCGCGGGGACGCGAGAAATCGATTCGGCACGGATCGACCGCAAATTTATCGATCACTTGTACGAGCCGTTATCGGGGCGATTTCGAAGTACCGGTAGGATCACTAACACTTGCGAATCGCGTGCGTGTGTCCGCGGCGAACGGTCGAGCAGCACTGACACAGCGGCGCGCGCGCCACTCGGCGGCCCCACACTATAAATAAGCTTCACTTCCTACACTGTATGGAATCGGAGGACGATTTATGGCCGTTGAACCCATGAGAGCTTTTCACGGTTGGTGACTAACACAGCTCTGACCACCTCGAAGGTGTAAGCGACGCTTTCGATGCCAAGGTCGTGGCGATCGCAGTTTTATTGGCGAATGTGACATCAAGGTCAGTATCGCAATGATACGAAAAGGGAATAATTCATTTATCACGACAGTGATCTGTGTAAGACATAATTGCTTTTTATAACTTTGAAATTCAAAATAATAATTTACGTGAAGAAATAATCAATATAAATAGTAAAAAAAGTTAAATAGTCACCAAAAATAAAACAGCGCAAACTACATAAACGAGTAGTGAACACAGTATTAAATTAAATATGCAACGTGAAACTTGTCCTCAAACCGCAAGTAAAAAACCAGACAGTCCTGAGAATACGAGAAGTTTATTCAGATGAAAATTTCGGAGACAGCTCGACGAGATTTCAAAACGAGGTGTTGATAAGACGGGTTTTGTAAAAGGAAGCCGAGGAGCCCCGATTTAAAAATGAAACAAAGACAAGATGTGCATAAAAAGCTTGATTTCCCAGGACCGGTGAAGCAGTGCGGAAAACTACCGACGCCGGCATCCGACCGCGCCCGCGGACCACACACTTTTTTATAGTAATAGGGTGACAAGCGAGCCACCTGATGGTAAGTGGATGATGTGACTCATAGAAATCAACATCCATCCTCGATTAAGAACAATTTTTTTTACTGGAAACGAGATATTCCATCTTAATCCTCACGGGTGACAACGCATCTGCATTTTGATTCTTAATCGAGAATAGATGTAGATGTCTATGGGCCACAGCATCCAAAAACCATTAGATGTACTGTTGCTCGTTTGTCATCATAATTTTATATAAAAAGACACACTGCAACGAAAGTGCGGTTGGCGTTCATCTCACATATAATTTTCAAACACGGTAGTGTCACTCCTCGGTGAGATGTTTTCATCAACTAAGTCCTGGGCCTGTTTAGGCTCGAAAGGAATTTCCTGTCCTAAGCGTGGATCAAGGCAAGTGAAGGTAGATTGTCGACTGGATAAATAGTTTGTGCTAAGAAACTTTCTCTCGGCGGCTAGCAAACAAGGAACGGGTTCGTAAGCAACGGATGCGGTTATGATATTTTTTAATATTGTTCGTTTAAATTAAGATAAATTATGATTGAACATTAGTATAAATGTTGTATAATTACAGCAGTTTAATTATGCTAACTTAAATACAACACAGCGTAGCGTTTCGGTTAATTAGTGCTTAAATTAAATCATCATCATCATTACAAGTTCAATGCTGAAACAGTCTACCCTAAGAAATAATCGCCCCCCTGCAAGGAATAGCACGGTCCTGAGCCACCTGCGTCCATCGATTGTCGGCACCTCTTACCAGATCGTCACTCCATTTAATGCTTATATTAAAGTTTACACAATATAATAATTTCAACATTAATTTATTTTTGTTTTAAAGTGACAAACGAATTTACGGCCACCTGATGGCAAGTGGTCACTGCAGCACCTGGACCCCTGCATCCAATCAGGACCAAGATGCAATGTGTCACAGTTTACAATTATAACGGTTCTCTATACTTTTAACGCAGAAACACGACAGGTTACGAATGTCTGCAATAGGTACGTTTGTGGTACCTACCCAAACGAATTCTTTGGCAAAAAAGAGTCGATTCGATCTAAAGACAAAGTGTTTTATATCAACTGTTTAGTTAGATCGGATGTTAAGGACCGCCAGGCCGCGGCGTGCTACAACAGCTCGCAACAAGACAGTCGGTAACGAACGACAATGATGCGGCCCTTTACTTACGTAAAGCACTTTCACGCACCGATCGACGGTTGCTCGAAACGAATTGCATGGCTTAGCGCAAAGGGCCGCTTTCAAAGTAACAATTATGTAATTATTATTTATTGGTGAGTATAACAGCGCATTCTCAGGCATTTTAAAAAATGCGATTAATGCAAAATCATTGCCATTTTTAAAGCATGTTTTTACTACTGCAAAACACTTTACAAATTAATAGTTGACGCTCCTGTCAATCTAAATTAGAGATGAAACGGATATCCGGTAACTATACGGTATTCGGCCTATCCGGCATAAAATTACTATTCGGCCGGATACCGCATTTTAAAAGAACACAAAATATCAAATTTAGTTAAGTAAGTTACTTCATTTATGTCACTTAACAAATATAATCAGTAGTCACAAAATTTTCATTTGAAAACTTACAAAATTAGTACTCGTACTACGCTAAGGCACCGAATAATAGTATCTACTACGTAGCTAAGGGCAAATTATGATGAATAAATAAATACTAATTTTTCTGCATTGAAAGATAACAAGCGGTTTTGTATGTCTTCGTAAACAAGGCCAGCTTCAGAAAAAAGTCTTTCGCTGTATACACTGCCGTAGAGTGCTGAAGTAGTGAGTGCTGAGTGTAGCAATGTTTGCCCACCAAATATACGGATCACGATCGCGAACAGTTTGCACTGACTTTACTTTTCGTTTCTTGCGATGCACCAAACGGCAATGTTCAGTAAAATATCCGGAGCCCAGATATCCGGCTATAAGACAGGCCGAATGTCCGGTATCCGGTATCCGGCCAAACAGCTATCCGTTTCATCTCTAATCTAAATACTTTTTACAAGCTATCAAAATAAAACTATTTTAGGAAATTATAAGGGAACAAAACGAGATGATTATAATATAACCAATTTTGCAGATTTAATTTCCTTTAATTATAACTTTTTTTTATTCGCAACGTTTCAGGCGCTTTAGATCCCAAGAAGATGGTAAGCATTAGGCCATCTTTTTAATGAAAATAGTATTTTATTTTTATTTTTAAAGCCACAAGAATCAATGTTGGTAGGAATGGGTGTTCGGAGAGCATAGCCGGTATATAGTTATGCAAAATGAAATATTATATTTAGTTACAATACAAGAAACTTCACTTCTTTCTTTCTTTCTATTCTCATTTGTAACAAGTTTCTTTAGCGAACTGTCGTAAAGGATTAGATATTGTAGTTTCATTTAGGACCGGTTTGAAACACTCCAATTTATCAAAACGTTAATTTATTCAGAGCAGTTATAAGCTTGATGCAGACAAAAAAGTTCCTAGGTTCTCACATTATTCCATTTCACGATTTTCCATACCTTACTTTGTACGTGGATTGCCATGCTGCAGCTTTATTGTGGTTGCAGCACGAATGGGTCGGCTCGATCGGGGAAGGACGCAAGAATATCAGCGCAAAACAGCAGCTTTCTGCTGCTATGTTTCGTTTGGTAAGTGTAGAGAACGTTCTTACTTTTACTGGATAAAAGACATTCCATCTTAGTCCTCAGGCGCGACAATTCATCTGTATACCTATTGATTCTTAATCGAGCGTAAATTTATTTATGGACCACAGAATCCACTGACCGTCAGGTGGACTGTGCGCTTTTGTCACCCTTATTCTATAAAAAAAATTAATTAAATTTTTATCATGTGAAAGTGTCGTATACATTTTTACGATTCCTAAATAAACATTACGCATGCACCACTAGTTTACGAATTTTCGCACAGATCTAGCACAAATTCTTCTATTGACGCCCAAAAAATATTTGCAGTACCAGACGCCTAGCATCATACCTCAGTCAACTATTTTTACAGATTTTATTTTTAGTTTTTTATTTATTCTTTATTGCATTCCCTAAAACAAAAGAATACAATACAATTAACTACATAATATATACATACTACTAATAAATAAACTATATATATATATATATATATGACCTATCCATACATATATACAAATATATAAATACATACATATACATACCAATATACATATTTAAGTAAATACATAATTAAAAATAAGTAAATATTATTAATTCCCGTTGAGTCATGGGGCACCGTGGGTGCTGCAAAGCTTCAGAGAAACGTCTGAAATTAAAATAAATAAAATTAAACGCGATGAAATCCGTAAAAATAGTTTTATTCAATCTATAGTGTGTCTAAATCTCACATAAAAATTAAAAATGTCAAGAACTATTGTCAATTATCGTTTACTCGCTTTCGTATTGCAATCTTAATAAGTCATGGATCCATACACGTAACAATGAAACCTTTAGCTATTGTAAAGTTGTAATAATATTTTACTAACTTAACTTAATTTGTATGGAATAAACAGTGTAATATATTTTAATGTTTTGTATTTGTTTAACAAATTGAACCAGAAACAGCTACATAGTGTTCTCGTTAGTAAAAAATTATTATGAGCTATCGGAATATTTACAAACGACACTCAGCGGCAGTAAGCTAACAAGCTAACCTATTGCATGGCCTATGGCATATTCTATAGCATAGGCTATGAGTATGTGGGTGCAAAGCGCAAGTGACAAATACGCAAAGTGAATGTGCGAACGCCGCGACGCACTATACCCTATACGGTATGGACCTTCCGGGATCGCCGACCGACATCTCGGAACCGTGACGTCGGCGAACGTGCACACCGCCTGACGAAATTAATAGATAGAAACTAGAATACAAATCAAAATGCACCTTAAATCCTACCCAAGTTTTCTTTTCTTCTTTTTTTCAACAAAAACGTTACCTCCACCCAAACTAGAATTTTCTCCTGTAACGTGAGGGCAGTTTACATACATACGTTTCACAAAGACAAACATCCAGATCTTAACCAAATATTTGTACG